TACCATCATATTGCCACTGCACGTTATCTTATCTACCTATTCATCTTGTGTTTCTGTTTTTATTCTTTCTACCTCAATATTTTATTTTATTCTATTGTATTGTATTTTATTGTATTCAAATATACCAGCTGCTATGACGACTTAATTTCCCTTCGGGGATGAATAAAGTAATCTATCTATCTATCCACTGTTGTTGACGCTGGAAGTAAGGGTGCAGCGTCCTCTATGGGCGAGGGACTTTAATTACAGGGCTCAACAACCACCCATTTTTACTTTTTATATATCATTATTATTTTTTCAGTGTATAATTGGAGACTCAAAACTGACCATAGGTATGAATATGAATGTCTGTTACCTCTGTAAGTAGGTCATGTGATTCACCTCTACAAGGTGTAGCCCCTTCTCACCCAATGTCAGCTGGGATTAGCTCCAGCCCCTGGCAACCCAAAAGGATAAGCGGCACTAAGGACGGTTGGATGGATTTTTCTGTCTGATGCTCAAATGAAGAACATGGTGAAGATAATAGTGAGCACTAACTAAAATAATAATATAGTTAATGGTGGTGATAGTGGGTTAGTCATGTCTTTAAAGTAATCTCGGATTTCTTCAAAGCCCATGAAGTCACTAAACAACTTTTATTTTTTTCCAGAAAAGAGACAGCCTTTATTCATTTAAGATCATTTGCAGTACAGCTAACTCAGGGGCAGACGCTTACATGCTCCTTACAATGAAATATCTGATACAGTCAGTAATGGAAACAATTCATTTGATTGACCTCTGAACCCACTGACACTTAACGTTTCATTAGATTCATTAACTAATTTTATGTTTAGATTAAAGGTTTGAGATGCTTTGAAGATCTATACATTGATAATTGTTTTGCGAGCCACTTAAAAGCCCAATTGCTGCTAACCATCTATTTGCTCCTTCAATGGCTGATGGCGCATTCAATATTTGGCACAGAAAAGGTTTGAGATGCTTTGAATTACTTCCGGTACTAACTCATAGAGTTCAGACTTACTGAAGGTTGAAGTTTGTGGTCCTATATTTCAACTGAAAATCACAGTTAGGTGTAATGATGCCATGCAGATGCACACTAGTAGTGGGATGTTCTAATACCAGTAGAAATAATGATTTTATAGCCTCCATTACAGCTGAGGACATTAAGTAATGCACACAAGTGTATGTGACATGTTTCAGTTTATTTTGCCAACATTATGAACCCAACTGCAACACAAACATACACATTAACATTACATTAGGCATAAACATATTCATCCTTTGTGTGTGAATGAACGTAATCAACAGCAAGACATATAACAACATACATTACTCACATAATCACATGAATCAATACCCAACATCAGATCTGCGACAGACACATTTAGAGTTGATGGTTTCCTGCAAGTTGAGTGGTATTACATCCAGACCATATTCACAAACAGTGACATCACAGTAAGCAGGGTCCCAAGTGAACAAGTGAGCAGAAGAAGGCACAAACACAATATAATCAAATTGAGCTGTTGATATATTTAGATTTCATAATTTCTAAACTTCTGCAGGAGATTGGATGGAGAGTCAGCAGCCCAACGGAAACGCCGATGGCAGTAATCACCTGAAGAGTGATGAGAGAGAGTCTGTTAGTTTTATTGGATATGGTGTACAAACACCGAATTGTTAGAAATAACACCTATAAATCAAATAACGTAAGGGATTAAATTAAATCAGTTTCAGTCCTTCATAGTCAGAGGGAATCTTAATTCTTTAAGTACAGAAAATAAAGATGTTATAAAGGCACTGTTTAAAACCATCTGCCCTGAATGGCCACTTTAACACCCGTACTTTCAGTTTTGCTTTGTTTAATGCGCTGCTTTGCGCTTCAAGTATAATCAATAAAAACTCATGTGGGATTATTTTCTGTCCAATGCTTTGAGGACATTTTGAAATACTTACTTGAGGAGACCCCTGCTGCTTCCTGCTCACAGTGAACATCTTCTGCTTGGGAAGGGACGGTCTTTTCTGCTTTTGAGGCCTCCAGCATCGGTTCCTTCTTGTCTCTCACAACCCAGTGCATTGACTGAAAAAAACAGTCATATCACTTGGAATTCTTGTTATACACATTACCCAGTGTTTTAAAAAAATTAAAAAATCTGTACCAAAGACAAGACACTACATACAGTTTTCACAGAGTCTTCCAAGGCTTGCCAGTCATGGAATGACATCAGAACCCCACTTCTTTTCCAAAGGTCATAGTTTTTCCTTTTGGTTTCATTGCATAAAATCTCTTTGGCCTCTTGTAGTTTTTGGAAATCTGCCACTGTCACAAAGAAAGAAAATACCAGGATAAGTAAGATTCCGTTAACAATATCTGCTTTGAAATGAAGACAGAAACTACGGTCTCAGTAAGAAAAGTGATGTACAATTATTTAAAAAATGGTTAAAGTTATAAATCTGGTAAATCTTGTCTTCAAATCACACTTCTGGCTATTCAAAGTGTTCCGTTTATTTAAATAAATTCCTTTTGAATACACACCAGTGTGTTACAGCACAGTCTTTACCTGCTCTCGGGTTGTCTAGATGTTTGTCTGGGTGGCAAGCCAAGGCTCGGATCTTGTATTCATTGAGAATCTGCTCAGTCTGAAAGGGGGAAAATAAATAAATAATTGTAATGTTCTTTTGCCAATGTCAATATTTGAACTTCAGGAATCAGTCACTTATTCTATTTTGGAGGGACAGTTTTCACTTTGGCAAAAACATGTTTTACATTTGCACACGTTTCTGTGACTGAGAGTCCACAACAACAATTCAAACCAATTTCTTTCACATACAACATGTTAAGGACACTGCCCCTTTATTTTTTGGCCCCGTTAACTTCCTATGACACAAGCTTCGTTCTTAGGGTTGCCAACAACATTTTAAATGAATAAAAATCATCATCATCTTCATCATAATCATCCCAATTAGGTTTGCACTGATGTCGTCATCATGGATGTTGCTCCAGTCAGACCTTGCATTGATAACTATATGTGTATAAATATACTGCTGTGCGTGCATCACATGTCGCGACACATGAAGAGTGAAATATGAATGGCTCATTCTGAAACTGTACAACAGAGGATGACGCATGAGTTCATTCTTATCTCCTGGAGCATCAACAGGTCTCTGTTGGGTCAGACTACTCTCTGGCGTTTATTCAATCCATGATCAGTTTAGTACAATATCACACATGTTGCCATTCGCTTCAACTCATCCAGCATTTTATTAACAAACTCATAAATCACGTATGTTTTGGTTTGTAAATCTAGACAATCGTTATTAAGTCACCCAGAAAATAGTCTGAGCCCAGACCCAACAACCAACCAGCCAAAACTTACCGAGGACAGCTCATCGCAGCCCAGTAACCCGTAGTAATCCTCCAGGTCCTCTGGTTTGCAGTTCAACACAGCCTCCATAAATGTGTTGGTGGAAAGGTGTGTTTTCTAACGGAGCAGCTTGTCTTCCACCCTGAATCACAGCTTGTGTGACTGATAGTCTCCTGCCCCCGCTGCTGACTCACCGATCATTTACCAAAGTATATCTTGTAATTGTTTTGTCAGCGAAGTGACTGATGGAGCAACATTCAAAGTGTGGTCTCTCCTGAGTTCTGGAGAAAAATGAGCTGTCCTTTTAACATATGACGTGTGGTGCGTTCAAGTGTCCGCCTCAAAGTCCCACTATCGACCATTCACAAGAGGCAAGACACAATGGCAGAGAGCAAGTTTAAATAATTAGAAAACACAATGTTGACATCGTGATAGATTGATGTTACTATTCATGTGCAATATTATTATTAATGTGTAATATCACATTCATATAATTCATATTATGTTTAATATCATGTGTAATATTACTTCTTCATATTATCATTACCATTTTCTACCACTTTAGTTTAGTATTAGATTAATTTCTCATGTAGCTTACTTTTTAATTCTATTTCTATTATTATTTCGTCGTCATTCTACTGTCTTATTTTTATCTTATCTTAATACAAAAAATATTAAAGAGATTTATTGAAATGGAACAAACTGTACATCAAAAAAAGTCTGTGTTTTATTGGCAAATGTTGTGAATTCATTCACAGGTTTTTACTTGAACGCTAATATGATCAAGCTGCAGGGCCGGAGAGTCCCTGTCCCGTCCCCACCATTTAACAAGAGTCCCAGATCCACTACTGAGAAATCATTTTAACATCATCCAGGCTGAAAATGAATATCAGCATCTATGATAAACAAATAAATAGGTGGCATTACAGTGAACAGCTTTGAAGGTCCAGTGTGTAAGATTTAGGTAAGAGGGAACTATTGGCAGAAATTGAATGTAGAATAATTCTCATGATGTTTTCACAAGTTTGTTTCATCTGAATTGTATGATTGTAGTTTTCTTTACACCAGAAAAGGCCCTTTATATTCAAATACTTTTTTTTACATCAAGGGGACCCTCTCTACAGAGGCCGCCATGTTTTTTTACATTAGTCCAAACTGGACAAACCTAACAGCTTTTGAATTTTTATGACAATTAAAGTCTACCACAGTTTCTTTTTTATGTTTGGAAGGAGAGGGTGAGGTGAGGGGTGTTCAGCTGCAACATGCAATTTCAACACTAGATATCACAAAGTTCTACACACTGAACCTTTAAGCAGCACTCTGTATGGTCCTCCTGGTTTTCTGCGTATGTCAAACAGGTGAGTAGGTCTAAAACCTTTCTCCTTTAAATGAGATTGACCGGACGGTCTTTGAAGGCAGCAATATTTTTGTTATGGTTTCACGTCATCGACGTCAGTCAGGGACGTTCTGCTCGTCGCGATTGGTGGAGAGCGGGTCACGTGCTGTATGCAAATGAGCCAGCTGTCCAGGAGGAAGGCTCAGTGGCTCTGCGGCTGAAGATGGCGGACGGTGAGAGCAGCCTCGGAACGGGCCTTTCGGGCGCCTCCGAAATGGACGAACCTGCTGCGAAAAGATCCAAAATGAGCCCGGGAACCGACTGCGGACTCAAAGTCTCAGACGCAGACCAATTATCGTGCGTTTCCGCGGGCACAGAGAGCTGGGAGGCGGCGGTGAATTGTCCGCATCCAGCGGAGAAGGAAGCGAAGCCGGTGATGGCGGTAGAGTCAGAGCAGGCCCCGGCGGCGCTAGGCGGAGACAACAATGGACTGGTGCTCTCCGAGCAGCACAGACCCGCCGTGAGGCTCGACCTCAGCGCGGTGCTGGGGTCGACAGAGGAGGGAGCCGGTGAGAGAACCAACGTTTTTTATTTCAGCCACTCAACAACAGCTGGTTTTACCAACTTCACCGGCGAGTTAGCTGAACGTGAAACACCCAGAGAAGTTAACGTTCACTGGCTAATGCTGTAAAGTAGAATATGTGTTTGTAGAGAGGCGAGTTCTTCTCTAGACGAACACTTTGACTTTTCTGAGTCACTTCTGACAAACAGAGAGAAAACTAATGCGCAAACTTATTCCCTTTCTAAACTTTGTTAGCAGCTTAGCATTTATTAGCCCTTTTCCCACTAACGCTCTCTGAAGTTAACGTTGCAACGGTTGCAACACTGGTAGTTGTCATGGAAAGTGGACGTGACTGATCATGTTGCTTCTCAGAGATCGACACCACTTATCTTTGGTTTTATTTCTTCTTGTGTCGGAACTTATGTGTGCACAGATTTCCACGAGCACGATGATTTCCTCTCGAACGGTCTGGCTGTCACACCCGACCACAACAACGAGGAAGATGACAGATCCTCACATGCAAGCTCCAGCGACTGGACTCCTCAACCGCAGTTAGGTAACTCCATGAGTGTGTTGCATTTAACAAAAAACAGTTCCCTGCACCCTCTACCACCTAAGAAACATTGTGAGCCACATTGTAACTGCAGGTAGTGGTACAATATGTACATGTTGGAAAACAAGTCGTCCTGAGATGTTGTATTCTTGCCCAGGTTCATACAGCTTCATCCAACAACACATCAGAGAGACCGATCCCAGGACCATTCTGAGGGATTTGCTGCCAGAGACTGTGCTCCCACCAGATTTAGACGACATGACACTGTGGCAGATCATCATCAACATCTCAGAACCTCCAAAAAGAAAGAAGCGGAAGGACATTAACACCTTGGAAGATGTTGTTAGGCTACTTCATGAAAGTAAAAGGATCCTTGTGCTGACTGGTGCTGGGGTATGTGTTTACTGTAGTATATTACAGCTGCACTGTTTATATTACCATGTGTTTGATATGTAGTTTCAGTGTCCATGCTATTAAATCAGAATGGTTCTATGCTATTTGTGCAGGTGTCTGTTTCATGTGGAATACCAGACTTTCGCTCCAGAGATGGAATTTATGCACGGCTCGCTGTAGATTTCCCCGATCTTCCAGACCCTCAAGCTATGTTTGACATTGAATACTTCAGACGGGACCCAAGACCGTTTTTCAAGTTTGCTAAGGTTTGTACATTGTGTCCATTTACTCATGATTTGATTGCCACTGACAAAGATTCAGGTGTATGTAGTTCAAAACTTAATAGGCTCCAAAAAAATAATTGCATGTTGCTGCAGATTTATTCATGAATATGTTTACACTCACTTGGATCTGTTCTCCCATTTTATTATTTTATAGGGTTTTGTTCATAGAGGGAAAGAGAAGCTACTAGAAAGTCTTGACACTTTCAGACTGAACATAGAAATCATATCACTTGGTCTTCATCCTTTAAGCTGTTATTGTATTTATTTAAAGTTAAAGGGCCTTTTTGTTGTTCTAAGACTAAACATGTTCAGGCTTTGAATATAACAAGGGTTTAAAAAGATGGAGGGTGTAGAAAAGGATTGATTTACATGACTATAGTGAACTTATTTTAATGCATCCTCTTTCTTACAGGAGATCTACCCTGGTCAGTTCCAGCCTTCACCCTGTCATAAATTCATTTCCATGCTTGATAAGCGAGGGAAGCTTTTGCGCAACTACACACAAAACATCGACACGTTAGAGCAAGTGGCTGGAGTTCAGCGGATTATCCAGTGTCATGGTAAGTAAAGCTGCTCATCTTGAATCCTGCTTATTTTCTATGCATTTCTCCCCAGGGTGGTGTTAAAAGTCCATTAATATGTCTTTTATTTCAGGGTCGTTTGCAACGGCATCCTGTCTCGTCTGTAAACACACAGTGGATTGTGAGGCTATAAGGGAAGACATCTTTAACCAGGTATTTATTTATTACAAAATCATCCAGTATAACACATTCACATTCAGTATTATTACATACTGCATCATATATGTCACTAGACACTACAGTTTGAGTAAAGTATCTCCCACAGATCCAGACATCCGTAAAACATACACTGCTTTTAAAGCAGTTCCTGCAACAATTAAAACAAAGAAGATACCGTTGAGGAAAAATCCACAACACCGTGTTGCCCAGTAGTAACATCTTACACTTCAGAGATAATCCATTCAAATACTCTTAACAAGCAACTTCTAGTGAATAATGTTTTATGTCTAAGAAGCAGATCTGTGAAGTGGGTAACTGATTTAAAAACTGATGCAGCACTGAGACATTCCAGGGTTGAATCAAACATGACTAGAAGGAGAAAATTAATTAAAATGAATTGGCCCTTTTTACAGTAGATAGAAGTTAAGTTATGGGCTCTAGTTGTGATGTAAAAAAAACTTGAGAAATCAAATGATCTGTGAAAAAAGTATCTGAATAACATTACATCTGATTTCTTAAATACATTATCCATTTTAAACATTGTAATTTTAACCATCAATCATCGTCAGTAACTCTATAATCATTTTTGAGTTTGTGGTGGTGTTAGGTAAATTATCCATCCATTGTCCGTCTTCAGCTTATTTTTAAGTATTGCTGATATAATACATTCTTCTTGCAGGTTGTCCCTCATTGTCCACGGTGTCCAGACATTCCCCTGGCAATCATGAAGCCTGACATCGTCTTCTTCGGCGAGAATCTTCCAGAAATGTTCCACAGAGCCATGAAGCAGGATAAAGATGAGGTCGACCTCCTGATTGTCATCGGTTCTTCTCTTAAAGTTCGACCAGTCGCCCTCATCCCAAGTACGTTTTCTTCAGATAAATGAATTTTCTGTAACATGCATGCAATAACCAGTAAATCTGATAATACAATCCATAACTGTTTTCTATTTATCCTCCTCAGACTCCATTCCTCATGAAGTGCCTCAGGTCTTGATCAATAGGGAACAGCTGCCTCACCTCAACTTTGACGTGGAGCTACTTGGGGACTGTGATGTCATTGTCAATGAGCTCTGTCATCGATTGGGTGGAGACTTTGAGCAGCTCTGCTACAACACTGTAAGACTCACTGAGATCACGGAGAAACCCCCACGGTTACCTGAACAGCCACCAAGCGAGGCCTTGCCTGCTTCCAGCGATGCAGCTCAGGAGGAGCAGAGGCAGCACAGCACAGACTCAGTAATTAAGTCTTCAGAGGAGACAGAAAGTCTGAATGTCACAGAGACCGCTCATAATAATGTTACACCTCCAGAGCCTTGTCCAAATGCTCAGTCTCCCAGCGAGGAGACGGCTGAGTCGCCAGAGTTACCAGCAGAAGACACACCAAAAGAGGAGGTTGCTGAAGTGAAATACCAAACCTCCAGCCTTGAATTT